AGAATTTCTTTATAATCCTCAGTCACTACTATGCTTATGCTGTCATTTGCAGCCATGGGTGGAGGGATGAAAAGCCTTGGCCTCTGTGCATGTCCCTGCTCAGGTGGGACCCGTGCTGAGCTCTTTCACACCTGGCCCAGCTGGCCTACTGAGGGAGTGCGGTTAGAGACCTGGCAGACCAGGTGCTGCAGGAAGGTCCCCTAAGCGCTGCGACCCTCAGCAGGGCTTGACTCCCGAATGTGGCGCTATTTAGCTCTTGGGGAATCGTCAGGAGAATCACTAGCTTAAGTTAATGTTCTGAAATATCAGTACACTCTACGTCAGGTTATGTAAGTGCTTTGTATGCAAAGAGTAGAAGAAAGTAGGAAAATGTTTCTTTTCGAAAATAAATGAGTGTAGATTTAGGATTGTAGTCTCTCTGGTGTATGTCTGTGTTGTTGGACGAGCCTAGGAGGCTCACATCAGCGATAGGAACTTGAGTGAAGAAAGTTGCCCATCCTCAAGACTTTCTCCAAGTGGGGTTTTATCAGAGGTGATGAATTGGACCTTGACCCTCATTTGATATAAAATTCAAAAAAGAATTATAGGGAAAATACTCTTCTCCCTTTTATATTTTATGCAAACTTGAAATGTTGAGTTTGCAACTCAGTCCTCTCCTTTTCCATTCAATGCAAGATTTTCAATAAATTCATTCTCTTTTGTTTGCTTTTTTATGAAAATACTTTTTTTTCTTTAATTACTTAAGGCAGGAACCAGAGCACCAGTCTCTTGTGGGGTGGGCGATGCCTTCCCGAGGCTCTAGACTCTGAAATGCCCCCTCTGTCCTGCACCATTCTGTCACGTTGTCCCCCTGCACTTCCACAGTGACTGCAGAGCCAGAGCGCCCTGTGGTTTTCGTGGTCAATGCTTATGGGGATAGTAGGAACAAATGGAAAGAGCTACTTCATTCTATTAGATTTCTATCAAACAGCCAAAATAATAAATTACTTTTGAACAGAATGTCCTTATCAGTGAGATTTACTTCCATAAATGCCTGATTTCCTAATATCAGATAAAATAATTTTGACATGTACTGTTTCACCAACATATTTTAAAATTAAAATGCAAAAGTTAGGCATTTTATGAACTTCGTTTATATCATTTACTTCGTTGTGGGCTTTTTGAACTTGAGACCATACATGAATGTATGCATTTTAATTATTTCTTTAGAGTATTTAGACCGTATGCCAGCTGCTGAGAGGACAGCAGTGTGTAAGATGTATTCCTTACCCTTTAAGTTGTGATACTTATGAAATAGCAGTAGAAATTTAGTGTTGCTCTTCCTGGCTGTTTTCCATTTAGTTCAATAAATTATTTACTGGATATTTATGTCACTGGCCTTTTGCTGGATCCGGATGTCTTCAGGTACTTTAAAAATAAATATGCAGAGGGATAAAGGAGCCATTGGAAATGGCTTTTGGGAAAAAGAATCTCACTGGAAAGAATTTGCATCAAAGTCTGAAGTGTTACTTGGAAAGCTTCGTCTCTCTAACTGGACACAGTTATCCTCGCTTCACTGTTCTTTATGCAACTTCATCTGTGTTGCGGTGTGCTGGTGTGCACGGCAGAGGTGGGCCTCAGCCGCTCTGGAGACGGTCAGGCTAGAGCGCTGTCAGCCCCTGGAGATGTGCAGGAGCTCTCGTGCCGCTTTACCTAGGCCGCTGGGGCTCTTTCCTGTGACTTTTCAACTCACGCTTTCAGATCTCGTTTAAACATCTTTTTGAGGTTCATGTGTAATAAGAAGCGGCACTCGCAGGTCTGTGGACTGAGGAGCGCTCGGGGTGGCAGCTTGGTTTTGGTAAAATACAGGGTTTGTTTCATGAGGCCTTTCTCACTCCTGAAGAGCAGAAAACAAGCTGGCATAGCAAGGTTCAGTAGGAGTTTTGATAATGTTTATTTTTAATATACCTTTTCAGTGTTACATAGGTTGTAAAAATAAGAAAATAAAAAACTTTAGTAAGTAGCTATGCATGAGAGCAGTTTCTCTTAATTGATTATTTGACCATTTGCTAATCCTGTTTTTTCCCTTTTACAGTATTTTCTATCTCTGCATTGCAGGTTATTCACTGGAAGAAATAAAATCTAGAATTGTTTGCTTACCTATTACTAGTCACTTAGTTTTCCCAAGGAAGCCCTATAGTAGGTGACTAAATTTAGTAATAAAATATTGCAATTTACTGGAAGATGTTCTTACATGTACACTCTAATCTCACCAACTGTATATTAGTTTCATAGAAACCAGATAACTGATTCATCTACACCCCCTTGTGCTAAATACTCTGGGTTATTGCAAAATACTTTTATAGTCATTAAAATGTCGATATTACTTTACCAGTGAGAAAAGAGACTTGAATAATCTGAAATATATTTTTAAAATAATTTAGATTGTACTTTTGTATAATGGTCAGCAGGGCGGCCTGCGCTGCTAGGTCACAGGCAGGCGTGAAGATGGCCTGCGGTTCCTGGGCCCGCAGGTCCTATCCAGAGTCCGCGTTGCCTCTCTGGGGCAGGTGCAGACATTTACAGCTATAATCAAATCAAATGTAATCTACTTTATAAGTTAAATGTGAAGATGCATAGGTTACTTGAATGTGCAGTCAGGGCCAGACCCCGTCCTCTGCATGCAGACCCTTGGAGGTGGCGGGTCACCATCTCTGCAGTAGAGCATCCTGGCCTTGCACTTGGTGCCTGGGGAGTGCATCTGCATGACTCGCAGGACCCTCCAGGGACTCCTTGTGTGTAGCAGGAAGCAGTCTAAGCAGTAGCTGAGTGCCTTAGATTATGCAACAGGTAAGAGGAAGAACCAGGATTAGCAGTCGTGAATTTGCTTTCAAACCCTCCTTCCACACCGGTGTTTCAGCCTGACCCTAGGCTGAGCTGAGAGGTCTGGGAGTGTTGCCTCTCGGGAGTTGTGGTCCTGTCTGAGGGGTGCTTCTTGCCTGTGGCTTTGTTCTGTGGGCAGGCTGTACACAGACAGACTGAAGGCACGGCAAGCTGCAGTCAGAGTTAGTGCAAAGCCCTCTGGGGTCCTCGGAGTGTGGCAGACGGCACTGGCCAGCCGCGTGTGCAGGCAGGCGGTGGCCGCTCGCAGGACGTGGCGTTGATGCACGTCACAGGCAGGCAGCGCGCAGACAGTGGTGTCAGACCGGCCCTTCGCTGGCCTTCGCGGGTCGACCTGGCTGATTTCCTAAGGGCGGGTAACCCGGCCTAGTAGGCTCCACCGCTGCCCCAAAACAGGCCTTAGACGATGCTATGGTGGAGGTTTGTTTGCTTTGTTGTTACAATAAATGGACTCTTGCCAGTCTTAAAATCATTCCTAGTAATACATGAAATAGTATTAATATATTTGCTTTAATAAACTGACTTCTCTGTATATTTCTTCCATTTTTCTTTTTAATATTCATTTAACTTTTAAAGGTTGTGTGCAATTTAGCATTTTATCTTTAAAAATCTGTTACAAAAATTGTCTTTATATCATAGAAAAATCTTTCATAACATTGAAATCTGTTGAATACAAAATCAGATTTATGCTTTTTTGACCTATTAATAGCATTTTTAACTGTTTCATTTCTTCCATTGATAACTTGTACTTTTCTATTCGATATATATGATATCATTTATTTGGATATTTATGTTCTTAGTAACTTTTCACTTTTTTTACTATCCCATTGCTTTTTATCAAAAAAGTTATACCTGTATGATTAAAGCATACTTCTGACAGAAGCCTATAGTGATGAAAATGCCCGTTTCTAACCTAAACCTTGCAGTCCCCCTTTTCACAAACAGCTATAAATACTTTTTCTGTTTTCTGTGTCTTATTTTCTGTCATTTTGTTTAATACAGATATTAAATCTGAGATGTAATAATACTGCTCTGCATTTTTTATACATTTGATGTTTTCTAGTTTATCATTCTAAATAAATATTAGTGACATTGTTTAAATTTTTCCTTTTATTAATATATTTTATATTTTTAATTTCCAGTGTTAATTACTTCAGACTGTTAAGTAATAATAAAGATATACTTCCATGTTGATTTAAAATTAAGCAGTTTCATTTTAAAAACATATTTTTTTACCTCCAGATATTAATGTGTTCTACATATGTATATTTGTGAGACATCTTTTATATATTAATGAAATTACTTTTGTATTTTATTGGTCATTGTCTTGTGTCAAGGTAATTAGAAAAATTATTGTGAAAAAATATGAAGAAGTTTTCTTCCATTTAAGCCTTATGTGATTTCAGAAGTTGAAGAACTGACTAGAGTGTTACTGTGTCATCCGTTGGCCGTGGGCAGAACGTGCGTTCCTAGGCTCTCGGTGAGCTAGTGTCAGAGCGAGGCAGGTGCCTGCCTTGGTCTGGGAAACGCGCAGGGAGCGTGAGGTAGCCGCCCTGGCCTCGCCTGTTCCTGGGGGGTGCTCCGTCCCGGTCACGTGGAGGAAGAATAAATAGCAAGGAGGGTGGGGTATCCCGGAGCACGCGAGGCACTCGGCCCTGTGCCCCTTTTCGCGAAGTACCGGCCCTCCGCAAGGCGCCCCACGCGGCTGAGCTCTGGGGACCCTCAGCAGTCGGGCGCTGGGCACAGGGGCGTTCTGAGACACGTCTCGTCAGCTCCTGCTTGCAGCTATCTTAGAGCAAATGATAATAGCGAAGAACTTGGAGTGGATGTGTAGTGGTCCTTCTGTTAGTGGTGATGTGCAGGGTGACGCCCCGTGGAGGCCTCGGAAGGTCTCCCCCTCAGCGACCAGAACTGCTTTTGTAGCAAGATCGGGTGAACTTGTTTGTTTTCTTACATTAATGTGCATTGGTTTGCGTTCACCTTTCAAATGTGAGGGCCGCAATGATTACGTGTTTCCAGCTCTCCTTAAATGTTCCTGTGATAGATAAATGAACAGAAGCTAAGAGAGCTCTGTAAGGCACACTATTAATATTTTTATAAAAATGCTGCTACGATTGCAGGTCCTTTTGGGATAAATCATGGAATTGAACTTCATTCAGATGTGGTGGAATATGCCAAGGAAAAGCTGGAGAGTTTCATCAAAAATAGTGATAGCTTTGATAAGTAAGTATTCATATCTATAGTTTTGCCTTGAAAGCACTTGACAGATATGTGTATTTCTGTTCTTTGTGTTATTTATTCATCCTGACTTGCTCAATTGAATGTAGCCAAAATTAATGTGCTATAACATGAGAAAAAAATAGGAAATTTACTCTATTTTACTCCATGTAATTTACATTATAAATAAATTTTAATAATGTTATGCTTCTATCACTTATTAGTAAGATTCTGTTCAGTAAACATACAAATAACTTTTATGGTGATAAGCCATAAAGTTGCTTGAGGTTACATAATTGTCCTGTACCTGTTTTAAATATCTTGGATAGTAATTTAGTAGTTCTATTTGTAACGTAAGTATGTGCCTGTTAGCTTTGAAGGCCTTTCTTGAAAGTATCCCGGTGCTTTGTTTTGTGTCCAGAAGAGGCCGTCCTGTAACACGTCAGTGCGTCTTGTGGTAGCACTGTGTTTGAGAAGCGTATAGAACCACAGCTTTGGACTTGTACTGCCCTTGAAAGAGATGTTGCCCGGGCCCTGGGCCTGGGGCTGGCAGGGCCGTGTTTTGTGTGTAACCGCACCCATTTCTGCCCTGGTGGCACTGGGAAGCGGGCTTTCATGCTGATGCCCAAGAACTGAAGACGGGAAATGTTGGAGAGCGTGGACAGCTTTCGTTTCTCCGCATCACTCGTCCTGTTTTTAAAGAGAGGGCCTTAGGAGAGACATCACTGCCTAGGCACTTCGGGTAGCAGAGCTTTGGGGCGGAGGCAGAGCCCCCGCCTGATTTCTGGGGTGAGCCTAATTCATCTCCAGCCCCCAGCTGTGACTGCCCATCAGTGGGAGAAACTCAGGGAGATGGCCAGAGCTGAGCCCTTCCTCCAGAGAGAGCTAGCTTGACAGCGTGGGGGGTCCTGAAGGCTCCGCCACGGCCTTCAGGCGAGCGTGCTTCCTTTTTGCCCTTCCTCCCTCCCTCTTGCCCTTCCTCCCTCCCTCTTGCCCTTCCTCCCTCCCTGTTGCCCTTGCTCCTTGATGTCTGCTGTCCTTTGAATTGAAAACTCCTGTACTGCAGCAGAATCTTTAGTGCTTGGAGCGGGGCAGAGTCGGGCCTAACTGCCCTGGGTGTGATTGCAGTTGGGTTATTAACGATCTCAGGCAGGCTCGGGGAGTTTAAAAGTGTTCAGATTATTTATCTTTTTTTTTTTTATAACTAACCTAATAGATTTAATCAGGTCACTCAAACTTCATCTTCTTTATACTTCTTTGTAGATAACATTTAATTTACATTCTCATTTTTCTTTTGCTTACTGTGTTCATATTTTATTTTAGAAAAATACACTTAGCAGAAATGAAAGTTTTTAGCCTGATTTATTTGATAAGAACTTGGCATTTCATTTTAATATTCTTTTTTGTCTCATTTCTGTCCTGTGATTACAATTATTATGTAGTTATAAGGATTATAAAATTTTTAAATTCATTGAATTCGTATTAACTGTTATGCTTTTATATTAAAATTAACATATACATGAAGGCACTTAAAATTAAAAAGTAAAAGCTGTTAGTAAATGCAGATGCATGCAGTCTTTCATAAGGTCTGTTCTGTAGAGAGCTGGTACATGGTAGATTTCATCTGTTAGCACTTGCGTGGAGGTCGTTCAGCTCTGGGCCCTAAGTCCAGAGGAGACGCTGAGGCTGCCTGGTGGTGGGCGCGGCCCTGAGGGACCAGCGCTTTGCCTCCTTCCTGCCCTGGTGTAGTTTAGCTGTTAATGCACCACGCAGGTACTTTTGAAAGCTACGTATGAATGTTTCAATTTTAAAATTATTTTTATGTGATTATAAAGTGATAAAATTTCTTTGACTTGTTTTCTTGAGCTTGCTGTTACTGTGTACACAGGTTTGTTGGTCATAAAATACTGATTCATAAAATATAGTGGTATGTTCCACCTGAGTGTTTCTTAAAATTTTAATGTCCTCGTCTTAGCTATAATAATTAACCAGGCCTTATAATATAACTTACTTTTTAACAACTTTTTTAACAACTTCTGAAGAAGACAATTCAAGAAATTTTGTTGTTTTTAAAGCAATATTCCGAAATACTGATATATGTCAGATTATAAAAGTGTTTTGTATACGAAGAGTAACAGGAACTAGGAAGATGCTTCGTTTTCTAGAAAGTAGCTGCGTGATTGGAATTGGATGTACTCAGAGTTGTCAGGTGATATAGTGTTTTTTTCTTAATTGTTTTTAATAATGTTTTGGAAATTGAAATCATAAAGATGCCGTTTTCTTCATGTTCTACTTATGTTTTGATGATTTTATAATTTTTTTTGATGTTTGCGGACAATATTTCTGCTTACATTCAGTTTTTAAAAAGTTTAAAACCTTGGCTGTGGGAGCTGGGCGTGGTGGCACACGCCTGTAATCCCCGCGCTCTGGGATGCTCACACAGGAGAGTGTGAGTTTGAGCCCATCCTGGCAGGTTAGCAATTTAGTGAGACCCCTCCTTAAAGCAAATTAAAAGAGGGAGGGTGCTGAGGCCGCAGCTCTAGAGCAAGGCCCTCAGCTCAGTCCTCAGCACCACAGAGCAGAGCAGTGGGCGACTTGTTGTGAGGCGTGCTGGCGAGAATTTGCTTTCCAGGCAGTGTCAGTGCATTCGTGTACAGGTCATGGAAACTCATATTTTAATTAACAGAATATTAAGTAATAAGAAAATTCATTGTTACTCCTGTTTTGTATCAGATTATCCTTGATTATATTTTATTTATTTATTTTTAGAAGATTTTTTCCTTGATTATATTTAACAGGGAGACAGTGGGTAAAACTTTAATTCTCTGTTGGTATTTATCCTGTTTAGATCTTTATCACCTCCTTAAAATAAGTGTTGTCGTGGACCTTTTGTTACCTGCATTGCTTGGGTGTGAGTGTGAGCTTCCTAACGCAGGAGGTGGGGTACGGTAGAGTCCATAATCTAATTGGCATTGCAGCGTATAATGTAAGATTACTGTGTGAAAATGCAAGTGTCTTGGGGTACCTACAACGCTTCATTCTTAAGTGTTGAAAATACTATTTAAACGAAGGAATCATCATGTGCACCTTTAAGCTTTCTATGTCCTAGTCCTTTGTCAGCAAACTAAGCAACTGAAAGTGGCTCCTCTTCATTTAACTCTGCTTGCATGCCGGAGGAGAGAGCTCTTGCCTATGGACTTAGTCTTCTGGCATCTGTGATATTCCCAGATTTACTGAAATTCCTTATAAAAGTCATGTGATTTCAAGAGTTGTTGAAAAAATCAATAAAGCTTTGCCACAAACTGCTAGATAGCAAGTCTTTCAGGCTTTGCAAAGCACTCTTTTGTGACCACCAGTTTTGCCTTTCAAGCAAAGAAGTGGCCGCACTCGCTGAAAAACGGCTGTGGGAGTGTTCCCTGGCCCTCCCTCACGGTGGGCGCTGGGCCACAGCGAGCGTGGCCTGCTGGCGTTTGTTTGCTGACCTGGGTTGTGCACTTCACAGCATTCTTTTCAGAAGTTTACTTTGAGGTGGACAGGTCTTGGGGCCTTACTTGCCTAAGGTAAAGAGGATCTTCGGATCTTAGGCTTTTATAAGGGAAGGAAGAGGCGAGAGAGTCACTATCAAGTCAGTGTTTGCGCATGTACCATACAGTAATACTCAGAGTAGTCTTTCCAGCCGTAATTACCCGGGAAGAGCGTATCACTCAAAGCAGTCTGAAAGGCAGATGAGTTGGCAGTTAGTAGAACAGTCCCTTCCAGCTGTGCGTGTGCATGCATTTGGGGACCTGCGTGAGGCCTGCTGGGAACACCACGTCCCTGTCCGCAGTCCTCTTCCCATTCCTCCAAGGTGACCCCTGCTCTGCATTTTGAATGCTTCGGCGGCAGCCAGAGGAGTGCTGGGTAGTCCCAGTTACTGAAGGGGCCGGTCCGCGCAAGTGCAGGGGCGTGCTGCTTCCATGCAGGTGACCATTGTAAAAAATCCACCTATCGTAGTCACTAAGAAGGCCTTGGGCACGAATGATACTAGGCCTGAGGGTGACTGAGAGAAGTAGCTCATTGTCAGTGTAAGCTGTGTTGGCTAGCGTGCAGTCAGTGAGTGGCAGCATCGGTGCCCTCATTTGTAAGTGACAGGTTCATTTTCCAGGTGGCATTTGACAATTAAATGCTTTTATGTCCAGCCAACTTTTATCACTGGAGTAGTTCACTGTGTCACCTTTAGGAGAATTAGGCATATGTGAAGCAATTTTCCTGTACACCATTCATTATACATGCAGTGACATTTCTTAGATCTTTGCATATTTTGATATTACTAATTATATTCAGAAATAGTTTTATAAGAATTGTTACAAGTCGTGAACACATTTTTTAATCATGAAAAATGCACGTTGAGCCTGGGGCCCTTCAACGTCGCAAGCAGGGTGATCGGTTATATATGTTTGTTGTCAAAGCTTAGAGCCCTTTGCTATTGTTCAAATGCAAGAAGATTCAACTTTATTCAACTTACATGTCACATTTTCTGTAACATATTTAGAGGTGGTTTTTGTTCCTGTGGATTTCTTTAAAGCTTTATTCAGTGAAAAATCACTATTTATTCCCAAGACTTTGCTTTGGATAATGTTTGAGTTCTGGTAAGAGTTTAATGCAGTTGAAAGGGAAAACCCTTGAAAAGGAAACTTTAAAAAAATGTAATCAATAATTTAATTGCTGGTCATCACTATGTTTGAATACTGTAAGTATTTGAAGATCAAGGGTTTGACATTTCTCTGGGTCATGTCCCCCAAAAGGTCTAAAGTTTTGTCTTTTTTTTTTCTTACTCATTCATGTCTCTTAAATTCAGAATACTTATTAAAAAAAATGTTTCGAGGGAAAGAAGATGTTGTGATTTATTTGCCAGGTTGTTTTGAATGAGGTGTGAGAACAAGGTAGGGTCTTTCCCATGTCCTTGAGTCCATGGGAATTATTGTCTGAATTGCGGTGACAGTGTCCTGTGGCACCTGATAAGCGAG